TCTCTCTCTCTCTCTCTCTCTCTCTCTCTCTCTCTCTCTCTCTCTCTCTCTTCCTCTCTCTCTTCAATTACTACCCTTCAATACTCCTGTAAGTTCTACCTCCAAATTTTCACCCTAATTTCTATTTTCATGTGCTCTCACAAAGTGAGAGTCTTTTTCCCATGGATGCTCACTATTTCAGTTCACCATTCACAACTGCTACAATACAGAGGTCTTACTCAACTGCATCGTCCTTCTCCTCCCATTTGTGTCACCTATAACACAAAGTCTAGACTCCTTCATAAAGCATTTAAGTCCTCCCAGTCCAGCCCCTGTCTACCTTTTGAGCCAAGTTTCATGAGATCAGCTCATGACCATTGATGCCAGTCCTGTCCATTGGACAACCTACTCTTCCTGAAATAGTCTGGGCGCTCTCTGCCCTGGTTTCCTTCCCCTCTCTTCTTTTCGACAAACCACAAGAGTCTTCATTCTTCTGCATCTAGTTCAAATGCCACCTTCTCTGTGATTTGTCCCTGGTATTCCAGAAGGACATAATAATTCTTTCAGGTTCTCTTAGCACACTGCTCAGAGTTTCAGAAAGGATACTTATTTAATTCTCCTTACCTATAATCAGTTGTATCTCTCTAAGTACATCTCTTTTATCTTTGAAAAAACGTTTCACTCTTTGTACTCCTCCCCCCCCACTGCTTCATCTAATGCTTTATATATAATAAGTGCTTTTAATTTCTGAATATTCATTGAGCACTTACTAGCCACAAGGAACTAGGCCAGGAAGTGTGAGGGCTGGAGGAGAAAAGGATTTTTGGGTTTTGTTTTTTTTTAATGCAATCTCTTTCTTCAAAGGAGCTAATCAGTAAGACACGATCACAAATAACCTAAGCCAGTGGAATAACTGAGGGGGTGGAACTGGGTGGAGGGGAAGTTCTGAGCATGGAACAAACATTCTCAGTGTTCCTAAATGGGAACACCGGTGTTCTGACTGGGAGGGAGGGGTAACAGGAAGAGGAGAGGGAAAGAAACAGCACGACTGCCTTGAGAGTCCATGTCTGTGCTCTAACCGTTATTAAAGTCTTCCTTAAGTCTGACTGACCTAAGTCATCCTTCCCCTCAAACCAGAATAACTTTCCTAAAGCAGAACTGATCATTTAACTCCTCATTCAAATGTTGGCTGTTCTGTGAATCATGCATCAGACAACTGCAGTTCTACGCTAAGACTTAGAGCGAACACCAGTTTGCAGAGATGACACAAAATCAGGGAAAAGCTGGAGTACAAAATGGAAGGGCATTCTGTAAGATGCAGGAGGAGTGCAAATTAAAAAGTGATCAGTATGAGTCAAAGCTAATCAAGAAGAATTAAAGGAGATGAGCCTTTAGAGCCTTTTTATTACTCATCTTAGTAATAAAATTAGATGTAGCAAGAGAGCTTTAAGTGGGTTTCCATTCCAAAATCCTCCACTACTCCTTCAGGGGATTTATTCATTTAGTCAATGTACACACATTAAACACATCAACAATACTCTAAACATGTGTTGAGTGGCTTCAAGGTGCCAGGAACTCTGCCAGACACAGAAAACATGCCAGTGAGTAAAAGACTTTGCACTTAAAACTTTTAGAATATAATGTGATTGACTGAAATGAAATAAGCACAATAAAATGTGATGGATGTAACAATGGGAGAGTATCAGGTGCCATACTCTCAGATCACAGAACAGTGAACCTAAAGTCCTAAGGTCTAGGAAAATACCCCTGAGACATGATATATGTAAACCAAGACTCCAAGACTATACAGAAATTAGTCAGGCACAGGAAACTGAGTACCCAGGCAAAAGAACACCATATGCAAAGGTCAGGTCTACAGAGAGAGAGTGTAGCCTATCCAAGGAACTGAAACATTGAAAACCAAACTACAGCAAAGAGAAAGTTTGTGAGAAATTAGGACAGAGAAGAACGCAGGATCAGGGTATAGAGAACTTTCCTAAGGTATGTCAAGGATTTTATATCTCATCACTGGGTTCTGGGAAACATTAACATATGTAACACCATATATCTAACCTGCTGAGTATGTACCATAAATGGCTGGAAGAGTGGGTCAATGAAAAATGAACTAATGACTCTTTGCAACAGATGGGGACATTTTGACTTGCACTTGAGTGCAGAATGAATATTCCCTAGCAAAAAACCTTGGGATGGGAAGGATTGCAGATTTCAGATTTTGGAACAGCTCTGTGTTCATAATGAGCTATCTTGGAGCTAGGGACCTAGGTCTGAAAAGCAAATGTGTTTATGTGCCATGTAGACCTCCTATACATAACCTGAAAGTAATTTATACAATATTTTAAATATTTTTGTGCAGGAAATGTTTTATGTTGTACAATTGACTGTTCACGGCATCCTGTCAATATTCAAGCGTCTGGATTTTGAAGTATTCCACACTTTAGATCTCCACATTGGGAATGCTCAATCTGTACTTTCTCTAAGAAGTAGTACAACTGTGGCAAAGACATTGACCCTCAGTTTTGCATAGGAGACTGAGCCCATGAACCCCATAAACAACACTCTGACCTTGGTAGAGGTACTCAAAGCCAGCTGTTTTAGCCCAACAGGTAGGACATAAAGCAAATCTGCATCAAAATCAATTTTTCTAGATGTCAGAGTAAAACATTTAAACTGGAAAACACTGAGACTTAAATGATTAAGCTACAAAGAAACAGTGATACTTTCTTAATCCTTGATGGAAAAAAATTGCCTTCTGAATCTCAAGGGCATACATATTCCCAAATTAGATTATTCATAGTGATGCTACCTGAACAAGTAAGTCTCAGGGCAGAGGGGGGAATTTCAGAAAAAACATTTTCTCTTTTTGCAAAGAATAGAAAAGGTAAAGTGATTGTGAAAAGCCAAACAGAACTCTTCCCTTGAAACTCCAAGTCTCCTGAGTCACTGAGTCTTGCTTTAGGTCCCAGCTCTAGGACAGCCACCCATTTCAGCAAATGAGCTGGCACAGAGCAGGGTTTCTCAGAAATACAGGAGCTCGTTCCCAGGATTCTAGGTAATTACCAAGCCAAAGATGAACACTGCACCCTCCTGCTTTTGACCAAGACTACCCCGGATTTCACACAGCCATATTTTGAATTTAGGAGTTCATTTGGCTTCAGGCATAAATAACAGACCAGACTCCGTGCGTAGCAGAAGGTTCCAAAATTATTTCTGGAGTCAACAAGGAGGCTAAGCATTCATTTGCCAGGGAAGAACCTAACTAGACCTTCCAAAAGATTCTAAATGCTATTGGTAGGGCTGCGTGTGCACATGCATTCACGAGTGTATAACCGTGTGTTATTCATACAGAAAAGCCTTCCTAATCAGCAATATGCAAAGGTCATTGGATATTTTACATTAGAGAGAAACATAAAAAAGTACCCACACATGTGGCTTTCTAGGAAATCCATTGTCTATGTCTCATTAGTCATCTAAACTGTAACACTGGGGCAGGAGCCAGGTATACCTGTCTGTGGCTGTCCCAGAGGAAGCACAGAATCTTCCTCCCAAGACTGAGCTTCCCAGTCCCAAGTCCCACACCTAGTAACTACTTTTCAAAGCCTGCCTAGACACACTTGAGTCTAGACTGAGAAGTCCAGACTGGATTTAGAGCTTTCTTGCAGTAGCCCCTCACTCCCACCAGCAGTATACAAAGGACTGCACAGGTGCTCTACAGTGAGGGCATGTGGCTGCCACCTGCGTGCCTCTGGCTCCAGCAGTGCACTGGCTGTCCCAGAAGAGCTAGTCACAGATTGCTGGATAGGATCTTGGTTGCCAAATGACTGCTCTTCTCCTGCCACTTATGCAGTGAAAAGCTAACTGGCAACTGGCTGCCTCGATGCCCCTTTGCATAGCTCTGAGCGACAGTAGGTTCTAATTCAGTATGCCAGGAAGCCTGTTCCCGTATGCCACTCTGAGTGGCCCGTGCAGACACAATAGGCTAAACACACTGAAGTCATGGCATCCTTTCACTACATGCACGCAAGCTTGAGAAACCAAGCTTCCCCCAAGCTGCAGTCCTGAGACTACACCTGCATTCTGAGGCAAGCTGCTTCCTCCTCCCCTCCTCATCCGGAGCATCATTTTTCCTTTTATTTTGTATTAAAAGTAGCTTAGTGATGATGGACTTCAGCTCTTGCCTGTAGTGATCCTGTTCGCATTTTATTCTTGACACAGAATAGGAAGGAGGTTCGCTTGCTTTGCGCAGAAGCTGAGCCACAGGAGAAAGCAAAGCCAATGTGATTTATTGAATGAAAGCACTGGACAATTACCAACAACTTGTTCCTCTGCTGCCTCCAAAAACCTAAGCTGGTAAGTCAAATTTATTGTCATCTTTCTCCATGTAAATGTGGGGGCTTCTTAGTCACTGATTATTTTTCAAATATGTTTGTGTTGCTATGGTGTAAAGGGTATTAAAAAAAAAAAAAAAAAAAAAACCCTGCATCTTCCAAAGTTAGCTACAGGCGGTCTCTGAAGAATGCAACCAAGCATTCACACAGCGGTCCTGCAATAGCGCACACACATCCATGTGGTGTGATGAGGATGGGGGAGGGGGCGCCCCGTTTCTGATAATTGGGCAATTTCCTTGCAGCAAGCTTCATCACATTGTTTGCATAATTGAACAGCACTAGCTATGAAAAATAAAGTACTGTTTGGTTGTACACAATCATTTTCCAGCCAGGTTCCTGAGCACCTACAAAATACCTGTTGGTTCAGGGAAAAGGTGGGCCTCAACCTGCTGATAATCCTGAATATAAACCCCAGCCTAGTACTGTGTTAGCAGGCTGGGCACGCAGAGTTTCAGGCCAGTACTCTGTCTGTCCTGGGTGAGCATGTCCATAAACATCATGGTCACAGCGTTAAAAATACCTGTCAGATCGTGATGGATATGTACTGATACTCTTGTTTGACCTACTGTCACTTTTGGACCTATGTTCTTTAAGTCTATTCCATCAATACAATGCAATGGATTCAACATAGGATTTTATGCTGTGCTGGGTTTTGACCTGGCTAATGCTATAGGAAGCACCACTGATAATTGAGAGTGAGTTTGTTCTTTGCTGGGTCCCAAATTCCCAAACTCCTTGACTTCCTCATTTCATAAATTAGATGTAAGTCACCCTCTGCATAGGGGCAAAGTAAGTGGAGAATGGCATTGCTCTTCCCTCTCAGTACCAGTCTCCTCAGTCTTCTGTTTGCCTGGCTACCACAAGGGTTTACGGCAGCATCAATCCATCTCTGGTGAGCTCAAAGTTCATATAAATGTCATACAGAGTTTAATGTCTTTGGTGTTCTCTATCTGCCATATATCATGGGTCATACAGGTGACACTGTTGCCTTGGGTGCTGACAAAGATGGATGATGTTAGAACAGTTAGCAGCATGGTTCTCTAAATAAAAACTGGAGTCAGGAAATCTGAGAGATGGGTGAAGTTTTGCCTAGTAGAAAGAATCCCCATGCTACTTAATCACAAGAGAAGGGTCATTTCTCCCATGTGATTTAGCTATTTTACAAATGATGGCATTCTAAATGAAAGGAGACAGAATTGCCTACTGGTTACAGGACTAGTGAAATGTCAGGATAGTAGACGACTTTTGCTGATTCTCACACCAAGTCTATGTCTGGCATATCCCTTTACCTCCTTCAGTCTCCAATTTTCTATGCTTCATGACTTCCATATGTGTTCATGAGGTAGTAGTTTAAGCTCTTTGGTTAAAGGGTACACTAAGTAATCGAGATCATTCTGCACACACTTGCATCCAGGGTGCATTTGTTAGAAACTGGCAGAGAAGAGTATATGTGAGGCTGAGGGGTTGTGTGTTCCTTCTCTCAACTAAAGAACACAGCGCCCTCAAAAGAAAGTGTGATTAGGCTGGGGAGATCGCTCAGTGGTCTAAGTGCCTGCCAGGCAAGTGCAGGGACCTGAGTTCCATCCTCAGTACCCCATGCTGTGCCAGCAACTGAAACCAGGCATAGTGGCGCATGCCTGTAACCCCAGTGCTGGGGAGGCTGAGACAGGGGGATCACTACAAGGCTGAGCTATGTAGCAAGACCCTGTACTAAGTAAATAAAATACTTCTAAGAAATTAAAAGAAAGCATGATCACATTTAGGCAAAAAGAGAGGAAAACAGAGCTGAAGCATGCCATTTTAAAAAATCAAATTCACATAAGTAAACTATGAAATTTGGACCTTTTTCAATATTGATTAGTAGTAACTGATTTTCTATGCTTACAATTCCAAGAGCCTAAAGCTCTCCAATGTTTTGAAACATAAAAGTATCTTAAGGGTGCAGTACAAATATGGGTAAAGTCCGTGTATAGAATTTAGAACAACTTTCAGTTCTCAAATTATTTACCACCCCCAAAGGGGTGGCAAATGATGGCAGGAGACAGGAAAAGGAGTGTTGCAGAACTGTCCTGCTACAATGTTGTATATGGTTAGATTTCTGGACTTAGCTGTAAACATATATAATTGTTTATTCCTATTTTTAAATATATTTTAATTTTTTTAATTTTTTGTCATATTCTGTAGGAACTTAAAGTTCAACATATTAATACTTGATGAAAAATACCTGTTCCATGTTATGCCTAAGATGTTTGATATGCAGACAGATAGTGAGGTTGAGCTCAACAGCCTAGGTTGTATGGTAATAACAATAAGCTTGTCTTCTGGAGGGTTAACAACCTAAGTTTGCAGACCAAAATTAGAGAAAAAGGAGGGCTGCAAGGAAAGCCAACATTTTGACTCTAACCTTCCAAAGTCAATTAAGACTCAGGACATATGAGAACTTGTACTGCTACTTCATGTGACTCAGTAGTGTCCCAAATTTTCTGATCAAGGAGATTATGGGGCCAAAGAGGAAAGTGATCGATGATGTAGAGTATGCCTAAGGAGAGTCACATGGAGAGAAAACATTCTGTCAGGCTGTCACAGAGAGCACATTGGCCAAGCAATGGCCGTGACTCATCCACATGGCTGACACTGACAAAGGTTCTACAATCTGAGGTACAGGGTCTCAAGATAAATCCTGAGGGGATTTGACTGACTTTATCAGATCCAAAAAGCTACAATTCTTGTTACATAGGTCTTGCTTTATCTTGGTCTTAACCACCCAGCAGGAAAGTATAAAAATGAAGTATAAGAAGTAAAGCCACGCTGTTATGTCGAGCTGTAGGGGACTCAGGTCAACAACTTCTGACATTGCCAGTCAGGCAGAAGACCCAATACTATTATGGGCTACTGGACACTTTTAGAATATTTTGCTGGGTTCATACACCTATAATATTTAAATGACAGAACTAAACAAAAAAAGGGGATACAGATGAATGACCATTTAGTAAAATGGTTAGGATATATAGCTACATTCTCTTAATTCAATGAATAGAGGGATTTGTTCTAATAGTGTTTGTAAATAGGATATCATGTCTGCATCTTGTACAGCAAATAACCACTAGGAAGACAGTATGCAATGTGTTAAGTATTGGAACTGTCCTACCAATTTGATTTGAAACTGTCTCACTGCTATTTATTTCTCAATAAATTATGGAAAAATAATATAAAAAATAAAAGATCTGAAACTAAAAAAAAAAAATTATTCCCACCTCCCCACATGTGGACTTAGCAGCCATAAATGTGCTATGACTTGAGTTCTAGAAGGCTGACTTGCCAAAATAAATAAAAAATAAATAAATATCTAGCACCCCCCCAAGGATTATGGTATCTGAAAGCCTTTCATTAATGATTCAGTTAGCTATTACTGTCTTCTGTAGAGCACAAACATTCTTAGAGGAAATAATGAATTAAGCCATGATAGCATAAGTGCATGTATTACATTATTTCCAATTCAAATATACTTCAAAGAATGCTAAATTATTACATTAATTATTCTTCTATTTATTTGTCCTTCTCTCCAAGAACTTCCTTTATAATTATTCGTTCACTCCCCAGAAGTTAAGCTCTTTCCTTCTTTTTATGGAACGTTTGTATTAGAAAATACCATCTAGATATTTTGCAGTTCCTTCAAAGTCACGTGTGAAATACCAAATTCACTGGCCTTTACAATTTGAACTCATGATTTTATGTCCCTTTTTTATTTGTTTTGTTTAAAATTATTAATTGATCGATTTTTTTTTTTTCGGAACTGGGGATTGAACTCAGGCCCCTGTACTTGCCAGGCAAGCGCGTATTCCACTGAGCCATCTCCCCGGCCCCAATTGATCGATTTAGAATGCACACAGTCAAGCAACAAGCTTGCAGAAGTAATCTTCAGATCTGTTGATCACTTTATATTCTGCATCCACAACTAACACAATGTGGCCCACTTTTCCTCCTCTCTCTATTCAGCCAAGCTCTCTTCATCCCTATTGCCAAAGCTGTAGTTGAAGTTTCCAGCTCTTACTTTTTTTTCCCAAGAAATTAATACTTAGTTAACCCCTAACACTATTTCCACACTCTTTCCCCTTCAAATAATTGTCTCACTACTGCAAAAAATGTAAATCTCAGCTTTAAATTTTTTTTTTTGTAACTTAATTTTTGGTACCAGGAATTGAACTCAGGGCCTCACATGTGCACTCTCCCTCTCTCCCTGTCCCCCTCCACTTCCCCCTCCGTTCCCCACCCCCCCCTTCTTCCTACTCCCCCCGCTCTTGTGGTACCAGGGATCAAATTGAGGATCTGGGACTTGCCAGGCAAGCGCTTATGCTGCTGAGCTATCTCCCTTATACTTAACTGATTCATAATAATTGGCATATGGCATAGGGAGCTCTAGTGCTCCCTTGCTGTGCACAGTTAGGTTAAGGCCCATGTCTGGTTCCGTATCATGTCTGTGATGCCCCAGACTCTTTGGCCCTCCTACCTGTCCAGATGTCTTTCCCAAGGCCATAGCATAGTGATGAAATGCACCACTACACATGGCAGAGGCCAGAGAAGTTCCATTCTCCCTGCCTTCTGCACTGAAGTCCACACCATGGCCATAGCATGGCTCTTCCCATTTCAGTAGCCTACACTGAGTTGTTATATCTGGAACAAACTTTTCTATCTTTGCTGGCTAATTCATCACTCATCATCCAAATTCCTTTCTCTGGCCTGGTTCCCACCACTTCTCCCATGGTCCCTGCCCATCTCCCCCAAAGTCAGCTACTCAACCCTCTGTGCTACTCTTAAGTCTTAGGCTTTCTGAGAGAAATGTTTATAAGTTAAAAATAGATATAGACTCATATTTCCTTTGAGCCCAAGATCTGTTTTTACTATGCCTCTATTTCTTACTATATAAAATGGAGACACTAGTACTTCCTTATAGGATACAAAAAG